TCATGTATACAGGGTGTGTGGCTGAGAACAGCCCCGCCCACCACTTTGAATGGCTGTATCGAATCTATTTGCTGATTGGATATAGCTTCTGGATAATCAAAGAAAAGAAAAGCACAAAGATGTGTGGGGGCGTGTGTGTTCTGTTTGTATCGTGTGTGTCGTTCCGAGGGTGTGTGGGTGTTTGATGGTGTGTGTGTTCCTTCCGATCACACACACACACACACACACACACACACACACACACACACGCTCGGAGGGAAGAGGATGACATGAAGACAGAGCATCGGAAGTACAACGACGACGAGACGGGCAACGAGGACAGGGAGAATGAAGAGGGTGAGTGACATGCACCATGCGATGGTAGAAGCAAAAACTCCAGGGCAAGTTAGGGCCCTTAGGGGAGTTTGCACTCCAGCAGCTTCTTTGCGGCAGCGTGTCAACAATAACATATTTTGAAATAGAATTCCAATTTGTGGTGCCTCACTACTGCGGGGGCATTACAATGATTACAGAAAGATGGGTGCCCCTCACCAGAGCATATGGGGCACGGCCTGATCGAAATGGGACCGCCTGTCTGGAGAGGGCGTCCTAGAAAGTGCCCAATGTCGACAGGGGCCTGCCGGAAAGATTTTGTGGCCCAGGGCCACGACAGGGTAAATCGGCCGTAGGAGGGGTGCGATGCAAAATCATCGAAATTACAGGGGTGCCAGACAAATTTTCCCAAAAAGAAAAAGGAATCATGCTCATGGTAAAAAAGGGGTAATTTGCAAAATACCCCCATAAGTTGAGATATATGCCAAAATGCCCCTGAAAGATGTGGGTACAGTTAAATGCCCTTTCGGGTCTACACCTTTGCGTTATGCCCCTGTCAGGCGGGTGTGCAAAGTATTATCCGCTTTGGGGCCCAAAGGGACCCATGTGCTGCCGGGATGCCTTATCTCTATGGACTGTTACATTATTCCTCCTACCCTTATGTCATTGCTAGCCACTACACCCCCTGGAAAAAAAGAAAGCCCACATGGCCTAGAAAGCCTCAACAATTCAAAAACCACCAATACTAAAAAGAGGGTGCCTGCACAAAAAACCAAAGGGTTCGCAGCGTAACCAGGAAGTTAAACCACCAGTACCTCGCCCAGCTTGAAAAAGCAGGTTAACGCCGCGTCGGGCGGGGTACCCACCGGCGAACGCACCGGCGAACGACCGGTATTCCCCAAAAAACGGGCCAAAAAAAAAAAAAACGTCGACCAGAATGATACGAACGAAAAAAAAAATGTGCAGCAGGGGGGGAAAGGGGGGAAGAACGAGAGAGAGAGAGAGAGAGAGAGAGAGAGAGAGAGAGAGAGAGAGAGAGAGAGAGAGAGAGAGAGAGAGAGAG